TTGTGTTGGGCGGATGTGTGATGGGCGGGTGTGTGATGGGCGGGTGTGTGTTAGGCGGGTGTGTGATGGGTGTATTTGTGTTGGGCAGATGTGTGTTAGGCGGGTGTGTGATGGGTGTATTTGTGTTGGGCAGATGTGTGTTAGGCGGGTGTGTGATGGGTGTATTTGTGTTGGGCAGATGTGTGTTAGGCGGGTGTGTGATGGGTGTATTTGTGTTGGGCAGATGTGTGTTAGGCGGGTGTGTGATGGGTGTATTTGTGTTGGGCAGATGTGTGTTAGGCGGGTGTGTGATGGGTGTATTTGTGTTGGGCAGATGTGTGTTAGGCGGGTGTGTGATGGGTGTATTTGTGTTGGGCAGATGTGTGTTAGGCGGGTGTGTGATGGGTGTATTTGTGTTGGGCAGATGTGTGATGGGCGGGTGTGTGTTAGGCGGGTGTGTGATGGGTGTATTTGTGTTGGGCAGATGTGTGTTAGGCGGGTGTGTGATGGGTGTATTTGTGTTGGGCAGATGTGTGATAGGTAGGGCTGTGTATCACCAGCAAAGTCACGATACGATACAGGGGCCACGATACAGGACTGCGCTGAATTTCACCTCAGCAGAATTTAGAAAAACAGCTGTTTATTAAACACTGCTTACTATAGTGCCATTTCTAACTACTGGCAGAGCAGGCAGTTGACCTCTGCATTATGAAGGGCCTCCATAACTGTACCACAGTACAATATAGGTAATGGCATATGTTTCATGTTTACATTGTGCACTCCCCACCAGGTACAATATTCTGATTGTTTGCATCTTGTTTTTAAGCCCATAAATAATAATGTACTCGTTCTAATAAATTTATGTTGTAATGTACTCATTCTAATATATATACACAGCCTCTCTCTCGCTCTCATAAATGAACAATCGATGAATTACACTTTTCTGAGAATAAAATATTGAAGTGGAGATCGCTAAACTGCAAGCTAACCAGTGTTTTCAGAAAGCAAGCGCGTTTATCCTCAGTGGAGAGAGAGAGAGTGTGCACATGGTTGCCAGGTTGATAAAGATAAGTAGCACATGTAGCAGATATTTCCGTATTGCGCAAGTGTAAAGCTCTGTTTCGGGGATTACATCTCTTTATATCAGGCAACCCAGATGTGTTCCTCTGCGGCCAGATTAAACCTTGTTGTAGCCTATATATGCTTTTTTAGAAACCTTGCACTTTTCTACTCCATTTTAAACATTGTAAGATTTTAAACAAATTAAGCGTGGTCCACTGCTGCACACGTGCCACAATATCGATACAGGGCCAGCTGTATCGATACTCGTATCGTCAAATCTCTGTGACGATGTGTTCCTCTGTGGCCAGATTAAACCTAGTTGTAGCCTATATATGCTCTATTCATTCTTTTTTAGAAACCTTGCACTTTTCTACTCCATTTTAAACATTGTAAGATTTTAAACAAATTAAGCGTGGTCCACTGCTGCACACGTGCCACAATATCGATACAGGGCCAGCTGTATCGATACTCGTATCGTCAAATCTCTGTGACGATACATCGTCGTATCGATATTTTGAACACCGCACTAGTGATAGGCGGGTGTGTGATGGGCGGGTGTGCGATGGGCGGGTGTGCGATGGGCGGGTGTGCGATGGGTGTGTGTTGGGCAGATGTGTGATGGGCGGGTGTGCGATGGGCGGGTGTGTGTTGGGCAGATGTGTGTTGGGCGGATGTATGTTTGGTGGATGTTCTTCATCTGGGTGGAAGCTGCATGCTGCTGATACTTGAGGAGTTTCTTCTTCTCACTGTGTATATAATGCGCTCTGAGTGACAAACCCTCACTGGCTACTGGAACATGATTTAAAATTATTTAACTATTTGAAAATATAAAAATTATTATGTTATTGTTATATGCTTGTAAAGCGACCCTGAGTTTGTAGAAAGGCACTATTTAAAATAAATACATTCTTCTTATTAAAGTTCAAATTGCTTAAAGGGGTCATCGGATGCCCTTTTTCCACAAGTTTATATGATTCTTTAGGGTCTTAATGAAAAGTCTATAACATACGTTGGTTAAAATTTCTCAATGGTAGTGTAAAAAACCTTTTTACTTTGTCAAAATCAGCTCTGTTTTCAGCACGCCGTTCAAGTCCATGTTGTTCTCATGATACTGTTTACTTTAGCCACGGAACTTGCTAACTAGCACGTTATTAGGAAAGGCGATTTGCAAAGATTCATAAAGAAACCTTTATACTCATCTCTTCTGTAGACGAAGCTGGGTCATGAATGATTCACTCTAACTTATACGCATTTAGGCAGATCGGGGATCGACGCATTACTTTCAAAAACGAAAGTATCGTTAATCCTCTGTGTCTTCAGTGGCTCAGATGTCGGGAATAAATGACGACTGCTATGTTCATTATTACATCCAGCAACAGAACACCTCGCCCTTTAAAAAAATTTCAGTTAAAAATGAGGAACAAAGAAACCCAACAAGTAAAAGCAAAAAAAAGGCTTGAAGTTTTTGTCTGAGCAGGTTGTTTTATTACTGTGCCAGGACTATCAGTCTGCATTTTCACATATGATGGACTGTTGACAGGAATTTCTCTCAAAGACAAACGTTTTCACCAAGACGTGCAATTGACCACATCGCATGCATCGCTTCAGAAAGCATCTTTACCATTGCAGCCTTTTTGACATCAGCAGTCCTATCTGTAGTTTATATAGCCAAAACACGTACAGTGCTGTGAGAGGCTTTCCCTGATTAGAGTCATATGGTTTTGGAATAACGTGAGGATTATGAGTATAATATATATTCTTCTGGGGCCGCTGTCACGAGCAGTTATGATGGGAAGAGATCGTCTTCATAGGGAAAGGCTGTACGTGGTGTTGTTGAAAGGCGGCGTTGTTCAGGCTCTTGGCTGGCTCTCGTCCAGGCCGCTGGTCTGATAGCTCCTCTGTTTTCCCAGTGGAAGAGCCTGAGCTTCAGCAGGTGCAGGAATCACTGTGCATCAATCGCTCACACATGAGTGAGAGTGTGTGTGTGAGTGTGTGTGTAAGAGTGTGTGTGTGTGTGTGCGTGAGTGAGAGTGTGTGTGCGTGAGTGAGAGTGTGTGAGTGTGAGTTACATATTGCATGCTGTTTATTTCTCCATAAAATATTTTATTTCTGACAGTCAGGAGGGAAGATGTTTTGAATATTCACACTTGGTCACTTCCTGCATCTTGATCAGTCGTGTCATTATCCAGTACGTTTAATTGACATCGATATCCATGCTATATGCTAAATCAGTGGAGTTCACGTCACAAACTCAGCAACAGATGTTACGTTTTGTTACATGTTATGTCATCAGCGCTGCATTTTATACATCAAAGCGAGTCAGGTGGGAGAATATAGCATGTAATGAAGATGACAGCAGTCATAGCATCATCTATAGATCCACTCATCTGCGGCGCACCGTTTGTGTGTTGCGGTAGCGCTGTGGCGTCTGGCTGCCGGTAAAACACATTTGTTTGTTACTCTTTAGGGAGGCGTGAAATATACTTCTGTGGCTTGAACAAGCAGATCTGTTTGTGTCTGGAAAGCTGGAGGGCATTTACACCTGCTTTTTTTTCAATCAGTGAAAACTCAAGTGTAAACAGGCCTGCAGTGTTTTTTGACCCCAATGACTTTCATTGTATGGACAAAAAACATTCTTCAAAATATCTTCTTTTGTGCTCCACAGAAGACAGAAAGTGACACATAGATAAATAAAAACGTAATTAACTACATTTATTATAAATAATTTATTGAATTAAAGTACTGAATTCATTCACTCATGAGCAGCAGAAACAGTCTGAATATTCTCATTAAAGGTGTATTTCGGTGATCTCTTTGTGTGCTGCTCAGTGCTTCAGTGCTTATGTTTTACTGTGTTTTTAGTTTAGTCTCTTTTTCTTCTCGGTAAGGTCTCCTGTGATGGCAGGCGGTCTCTTCGCTGTGGACAGGAAGTGGTTCTGGGAGCTGGGAGGATATGACACGGGTCTGGAGATCTGGGGGGGAGAGCAGTACGAGATCTCCTTCAAGGTAATCGTTGTGGCACAGGCCTAATGCACCTGCTTACAGTCGACAGCCAATCAGATCACAGCGATATGATGTGACGGTTATAGCACCTTTAAAGGGGTCATATGATGCGATTTCAAGTGTTCCTTTCTCTTTGGAGTGTTACAAGCTCTTGGTGCATAAAGAAGATCTGTAAAGTTGCAAAGACTAAAGTCTCAAATCCAAAGAGATACTCTTTATAAAAGTTAAGAGTCAGCCACGCCTACCTAAAACGCCTCGTTCTAACACGCCCCCACATGTCTACATCACTATGTGGGAAGATTTGCATAACACCGCCCAAATGTTCACGCAAAGAAAGAAGGCGTAACTTTTATTCTCGCTGTAGTATTGTTGTTGCTGCCGTCATGTCGTGAAGACGCTGTGTGCTTCGTTGTGAAAGCGAAACTACTTTGTTTGGTCTTCCACAAGAGGAAGATATCTGCTTCGTCATGCCTGGAGCTGATCCGTGCTGGTCGCTGAGGAAATAAATCAACATTCACCTTGGACGAAGTGGAGTCCAGCCCGGGGTCGTCACATGTGGTTGCCGCTCATTCATCGGATCCGCCGGATGCCCCGTTCTCGACTCCGCCACCTCAGCTCACTCTAGCCCGGCCTCAGCACACGCTAAGCCGCGGCTTCCGCTCACGCTAGGCCGCTGTGTGTTTCGTTGTGAAAGCGAAACTACTTTGTTTGGTCTTCCACAAGAGGAAGATATCTGCTTCGTCATGCCTGGAGCTGATCCGTGCTGGTCGCTGAGGAAATAAATCAACATTCACCTTGGACGAAGTGGAGTCCAGCCCGGGGTCGTCACATGTGGTTGCCGCTCATTCATCGGATCCGCCGGATGCCCCGTTCTCGACTCCGCCACCTCAGCTCACTCTAGCCCGGCCTCAGCACACGCTAAGCCGCGGCTTCCGCTCACGCTAGGCCGCTGTGTGTTTCGTTGTGAAAGCGAAACTACTTTGTTTGGCGGCCGGACAGGGCATCATCACAGTATGGTGAGGGGCGTAACATTTCCGTCACACGCTTGAGGTATTCGGCCAATCACAACGCACTGGATAGCTGGCCAATCACAGCACACCTCGCTTTTCAGAACGATGAGTTTTGTACAAATCGACACGTTTCAGAAAGGCGGGGCATAGAGGAGAAACAATAATGTACAGTATGTGGAAAATAATGTGTTTTTTTAACCTTAAACCGCATAAACACATTTCATAACACCAAATACACCAAATAATGTTCTTTTTAGCAGCATCATATGACCCTTTAAGGAGGAAATATTATGAATGAAACTTGATCGACAGCAACAGTTGCTATGTCATTATCCTAGTGAATAGAATAGCTTTAATTAATGTACAGTCACTGGTACACATCAAGCCTTTCCTGTTATTTTGCGCTCTCACGTGTTTCAGCCACTTTTCATTCATTTAACGCACGTTAATCTCACACACACAAGCGGTTGCTGTGATAACGAATAACAATAGTCAAAAACATCCCACATCTGAGGCTGAGAATATAACCAGAGCTGCGTGTATTATATTTCTGTGTTGTTTTAGATCAGTATATTCTCCTATCATTCACAGTAAAGTCAGATACAGCGCCCCCTAGTGTCTTCAGGAGAACACGCTGTGAATGTAAGCAGGCTTCAGAGTGAGTTTAGTGTCTGTGTTTGCCGTCTGCAGTGCTGTAGTACTTGTGTCACTGTCGGCGTGTGTTTCCATTCATTTGAAAGACTGTTTTCATCTTCTCTGAGGTGTGGATGTGTGGCGGCCATATGGAGGACATTCCCTGCTCACGCGTGGGTCACATCTACAGAAAATACGTTCCCTATAAAGTGCCGGGTGGAGTGAGTCTCGCCAGGGTGAGTTTGAGCATCAGATCCGACAAACACATCCAGATCCGGATCATTCTGAGACCAAGCAGATCAGATTTACTACATCTCTGCAGTTAAAGCAGTGAAGATCTCGGGTGTTGCTCAGACGGAAGACTGCTTGCGTCCTCAGCGTTAAACACAAGAGTGAGACGCTCTAGTAAATACTTTATATTAAGACTGACTTTCTATTGATGCGTCTTTCGGATGAGACGTTAAACCGAGGTCCTCACTCTCTGTGGTCATTAAAAATGCCATGGCACTTCTCGTGTAACCCCGGTGTCCTGGCCAAATTGCCCCCCTGGCCCTTGTCAATCATGGCCTCCCAATAATCCCCCAACCACTTGATTGGCTCTATGACTCTCTCTCCTCTCCACCTGTAGCTGGTGTGTGGTGAGCGCACTGGCACTGTTGTCCTGTGGCTGCCGTCGCATCATCCAAAGTGGATGCTGCACACTGGTGGTGGTTGAGGAGAGACCCCCCCACATGATTGTAAAG